CCTGATGCTCGAAAGGGGCACTCCATTCCTTTACAACGTAAAAATGACTAACTTCATTTGAAGATTGTTGGTGACACTCTACACACATCGCTCAACCATTGATGTCATTGGAAAGTCCAACTAATTTTCTAGCGATAAAAAAGAGCAGCAATATGCTAAGAAATGGCCGGTTTTGAAGATATAGACGATTTAAAAACCCTCTGCAGTTGCAGGAAAGCAACGTAAAAACGCATCGAGCTTATATTTTTACTATGTTTTTTATATTTATATTTATTTTTTATATTTATTTTTTATTTTTTATCTACTTATATTTTTTACTATACTTACTAACTACATGCGCTCCGTGTTCAGTGGTCGCTTGGACTGTCCCGACATCTTGGCCATGTTTTCTCTATCGGCACCCGGCCGTCGCACGCGCCGTCCCGAGCTCTTTCATGTGCCGCGCGGAAGAGTGGACACTGTGAAGCGAGGATTTCTTATTCGTCTTCCCCAGCACGTGAACTCGCTTGTCCACAGCAGCCCCGACGCCGATTTCTTTATGCCTAGCTGCAGGCTAAGGTCGGAGATAGCCAAATTTGCTGACGACCAGGGAACATACTTAGCCTAAGGTCACTGATATAGCTCCTCATGTAGCAACTAGCCGATACCGGTTTTATTCTCATTGTCATTGTCTACGCTCATTTTTCGTCTTTTTTGTCTTTTTATTTCATCCACTGTCATTCTTGCTTATACCTACACTCTTTTAGGATTTCAGGCTATTGCCTGTGCTGTCTACTTTTAGGGGATTTCTCATGTCAGTATACTTTTAGCCTCGCTCATTAGCCAGGCGCCTATACTTGTATATTCTCTTAGGCTTTTGCTCATGTCTTCTATATTCTTAGGCTGTTGCCTGTCGGTTTACTTTTAGGCTCTTGCCATCTTGTTAATTTATTTGGATTTTGATCAGTGTTATCACTCATATTTATTTCCATCCAGTGTGTGTGAGTGGTTGTTATTGTCAGTGTGCGACTGCATCCGTAAGTGGGGCTTTGCCTGTGGACGCTATGCCAATAAATAAACTATGAATAAATCATTTTTCAGTAAGTTTTTAGATGTGACATGGGCCTGGTGCCAGTGGTGAGCCTGCCGAACTCGCCTCTCTGTTCACGACCTTTTCTGAAGCACGAACCTGTGAGCGTGTGACACGATCGGATTCACGCCTACGACCCCCTGCCACGCGCACAGTGACCGGCCAACGCTCGTTTGGTTACCGAGCAGTGTCGCTGCTAAACCGGTTGCCGGTGGGGGCCATGGAGCTAGACTCGCGGGGCTTCAGGCGCGCTGCTAAGGCACTTGTTCTGTCGTAGCTTTTATGTGTGCATGTGAGCGTGCAGGTATGACTGTGATGCTATCTGTGATTTTTTGACAAGTTTCTCACCCATGTTTTAACTTTGTAACAACTGACACAGAATAGCCACGTCTGCACTGGAGTGTCTGCGGAAGTCGTAAATAAATAAATAAATAAATAAACTACGAATACCCGGCAGGACCCCTACTGGTTGATATGACCTGACCTGAACTGACCTGGCCTAAATGCATGACGACATCATCTGTAATCAAAACTAACATGATATTCGTGATCAGTACTAAAAAACCTTAGCAGCCACCATTTACATTTTACGACGTTCTAACAGGTGCCGACTTTCCCGACTTTTGGGTCATTGATCTGACCTAGGTCAACCAATGACCTAGAACCTTAAAATTGGATGTCATCGGCTTCGTCTCGTGGCAGGCAACACGCTCGTTTTTTTTTTCGCGAAGCTCTAGCTCGATCAGGGGCGAAACGGCATTCCCCTCCTTTACGTTCACGGCTGGAAAAATACCAATACGGGCGAGGGTTAGGTAATCTAGATCTGCCTCTACTATCATCCTCCAGCCAGCAATAGATATTCTCCAGAGTCAGCACTGTATTCATGTAGCGCTTGCGGAGTGTTTTTAGGGTCTTGAGGCAGAGGAGCTGTCGGCGCCGCCGCCCTCATTCAGTTGCCGAACGCACGCGGTGTCTGACCCAGCACCGGGTCGGGGCCTCCCAGCAGCAGCCAATCACCGGGTCGGGGCCTCCTCGCAGCAGCCAATCAGTGGCCCAGAACGAAGGCAGCCGGGGGCGGCCCACGGCCCGGACCACAACAGTGGCGGGCGGCAACAAGCAGTGGGCGCTGAGCGCTGAGCTACATGCTGGGGAAGGGCGGGGTTGCATTTGTACCCCATTGTCCAAACTGACATGTAATAACTTAGCTAGTCGTTATTCAATTTTCTTCATGCACCTGTCCAGCTCACAGTTTTGGACTGATCTTCAAACTTTCATGATGTACTAAGTTCACCGAGTTGTATAACATATAGTTCGTTTTTTATGTCACTGACCTGAGGTCAGATAGAGTTCATTACATCGTAATGTTAAGCCTATGGGAAAATATTCAATTAGGAAAATACTGGAGATTATCCGCTTTGTTCTATCACTTTTGTGCCTTGAAACAAAAGTGATAGAACAGACACAGTACTCAACATTATGTCACTTGATGTTTCTTTGTTTGGTGTACTTATCCATGGGTCAGGTCAAATGAGGTCAACTCAGGTCAAATGACGTTTGTGCCAATAATTTGTCACATAATAAAGATAAAGCTTTCATAATGGTATCATTCTGTTCCTCTTGAACACCCGAGTCGAATGATATGCGACATTAAGCATTCCGACCATTATTAAGACTTAAGTTGTACTTAAGATGTGCGTAACTTTTTAAGTACACTTAAGCAAGCAAAAGAGTATATCATTCGACGCGTCTTGACGTGCTGAGTTTACTGGTGAGTGGTGGCTTTGTGTTTGCTCTATCTTAATTAGATCAAAAGTTATAAGCGAATAACTTTTGACCTGTTTTAGCAATTTTTAAATTTATACCCCCTAAAACCCCCCTAAACATTGACCTAGAGCACCCAAATTTGCACAGGGTTGAGAACTCCAGGGGGCCCAACTACCTACCAAATTTGGTATTTCTAGGCGCCGATCGCAAGGGGGGGGGGTCGCATCGACCCCCACCCCGGCCTACCAGGCCGTGTTATGAAAAATGCCCTGCCAGGGCATTAATGGTAAAAGGTTTAAAAGAGGATGAATATTTGTTTTGTCGTCGTTCACATGTAGGTTTATATATTCCCGACCGGGGCTGGGAAAATGCGTTTTATTCACCGAGGTTTTTGTGCGGAGGACCGAGTGCCGGTAGGCACGAGGTCCGTAGCCAAAAACCGAGGTGAATAAAATGCATTTTCACAGCCCAAGGTTGGGAAGAGATTTACCACATGCCGTACCCGCGCAACAGTTAATATTATATTCATTTGATATATATTATTATATTCTTAATATTGTGTTAATATTATATTAATACTATGATCATATTTATAGTCACCGTGATTATTTTGTGTTTTTCATTATTGGGCTGCGTTGAGTATGAAAGATGAAATTTCCTACTTCCCCCTTATTTAGGGTTTGAAAAGGCTGAGGATGAAGATTGTGAAGCGTCAGAAGTTAGAATAAAGATATGGAGTCCACTTCCAGCAGGAGTGAGGAAACCGTGAAGAAAACCGAAAATTGGGTGAAACGCTGAATCAAACGCGTCTTAGATCCCAGCTGGAACAATATCCAAATGTTTCATTGTGGCTCGTTAAGATGCTTCGCGCATTTAAAGTGTTCGTTTTTTGCGTGCATTATGTTGTAATAATGAGTAGGTACTCTGACCATGTTCTGCAGCAATAAATACATTGGCATTGGAACGATACCTACCCTTGTTTAGTTGAATTACGTTGACAGCAAAAGTAAGTGAGAACGCCGTCACTTAATTTTGCTCACTTCTGCTGTTGCTGTTAGTGAACACACAATCCGAAAATATCTTCTTTGGATTTGGTTCTTCCGCTCAGAATATTCAGTAAAACTTTGTCTGGGAAAATCAAAAAGCCCTAGGGCCGAATCGTTTCCCAAATACCTTCAACATTAGCCGAGGCGGGCCGAAGCCATTTCCCAAATGCACGTGCTAATGTTAAAGGGATATCTCGGCATGTGGTAAAACAATGCAAGGACATTCAAGGAAAAACATTAAATCGCATTATTTGGGTGACTCATGTAAGCGAAAAGTGGCCGAGATGAACGCATGACGAAGCATTTCAATATCAATAACGCTTACTGCCAAAGCTGAAGCAACTTATGAAATTAGGAGCTGTCCATTCTGCCCGGGCCACTTTGTCCCGAGCCTACCATGCGAGCAAAAAATATGCCAGTTCTGTTATTATAAGGGGCAAAACGCATTAAAATTGGCGGAGGACCTGTGCGATAACCGCTGAATGCTGGAATGAGAACACTTAAGGCCTGGCTACACTATGCGTTTTCTGCGTGCGTTTTTTTGCGAGTTTGTGACTTGCGTGATCTGCGGAATATCGTTCTAGAAAAGTGGTTATCATTAATTTAACTTCTTTGATATTTATATAAAAGTTAATAAAACGTTTATGTTAATTAAAAGTTAACATGAAAAACATAACAAAAACGTAATGTCGTTTCTTTCTAGAACGATATTCCGCAAATCACGCAAACTCGCAAAAAAAAAACGAACGCAGAAAACGCATAGTGTAGCCAGGCCTTTAAGCGAACGTCTAGTCTAAACCGTTATACTGTTATAGCATAAAATTGCATTTAAAAACCTTTAGATAATAAGAATTAAAATAATCTGGGAAAATATGCCTTTCCGACTTTCCGTCTGTCATGGAAAAATGGCGACGGGAAGAAAATATGTTTGCCTAATCTGAACGACAGCGAAGAGCTAATTGGCAACCATAAATTGGAAATGATGCCAGTTGTTGATGGCTGAAATAAAGGGTGACCGCTTTGCCCCACTCTCCCCCACACTGGTCCAAAATGGGCGTGAGTGAATGCCGTCTACAAGTGCGCAATAATGACTCATTCATATCCGTTTGTCTTCTTTGCAGGCCTTGGTCCTTCATTCGGAGAAGAAGTTAAAAACGTTACAGCTACGAAGGGTCGCGATGCAGTTCTCACCTGCGTGACCGAAAATCTTCAGGGGTACAAGGTACGCAATGTAACGTGAGTATTGGGTGCATCAACCTCCCTCATATCTTCAAAACGCTCCGTCTGCTGGTTCCATTTGTTTCACTAGAAGCACAAGGACGTTGTGTAAAATTTAAATTATACCGGATGTCATCAAGGGGGCTCGTATCAGCAGTACAAACATGCATTATTACCTTAGGAAAAGTTCACTTTCCCGAAATTAGTTTTTTTTCTGCAATTGATTTGTTTTTTATGCTCAAAATGATAAGCAAATAAAATAAAAGCTTTCTACAAAAGATATTATTTTCTATGTTTTAATATAGGAAGAATTATACTCTATATGAAATATTGTTTGATGCGGAAGCTTATTACGAGTTGACCAATCATATTGCGTACCGTAAAGTGGGGCTATTTGAGACTGTGGGGCTATTTGAGACAGTACGGTAGTGGTTTAGTAAAACTGCTGTAAAATTAAAACCGTTTGATATTTTTACCATTTTTGCTCAGGCTGGCGTGGAATTTAACGATGAATTCCATGGAAAGGGTTCTTTGAAAACTTTGAAAAGTTTTGAAAGAAATTTGGCATTAAATGAGAAATACAGAAAAAACACAATTTAAGTTATACGAAAAGCATCTCTACCTGCAGCTTAATTAACATGGTTGAAGTTTTAAAAACGTTGCAACCGACTCTATCGTAACTACCGTTTTACTTATGGGCTAAGCACATTTTTTATGAAGACATTATATATTGTTGACGGTAGTGACATTGTGTAACCCAATGTCTCAGAATCCCGATGATACCCACCTCGTAAAACCTAAATATACCAAATACAGCTGATGATTGTGGTGCCAAGCTCCTAAAACCAGGTGATATGATGCATGCGAAAAGACTAGCCTAAAGTGTATCAAACGGTGAACACCGGTGATACACTTTAGGCATCTAAGAAACACCGGTGAATCGGCAATGGGTTGATGGTAATTTTAGGAGCGAGCAATATTTACGCATTGTAACTTAATGTGACCATCCTTTTTGTGAAGATATTAGTTACCTTTATGAATATGTGCATAAAATGTGTTTGTTTCATCATTCACTGACGCGGTTGGTAATCGTGTCATGTCTACTCTGGTTGACAAGAATGCAGCATTGAAGGTCATTTATCATACATACGTACTGTTAGGTGAGCCTTCACCTTCAGTATACGTCTTTGATGCAGTGCGGTAACCGGCCATTCGATACAACATGCAGTGATCTATGAAAATCGGTATAAAACCAAAACCGTTTGACCTTTTTCTGTTATTTCTTCACAGGTTGATGTGCAATGGAACAATCGATCATGCATCCCATTCACTCAACCATTTTGAAAACTGTTTTCCCTTTTTTAATGCATTGCGGTGTGTTTAATGCAGTAGCGAGCCTGTCTCAACTAGCCCCACCAAGGCCCTAAATACAAGCATCACCAACTTTCGACCTATATGTTTTACGCCGCCAGAGATTTACACACAACCACACCATTTGAAAACACAACCATTTTATTTGAAAATGTCATTTCGTTGACTTAAAGGGACCCTCCCATCTTAACATTAGATTTGAGTTGAGATAGCCAAAATGGGGTCCCTGGCTCACAATTACCGGTTTCGGCACTCACAACATCGAGAAATGCCTTAAATCAGAAATGTTGAATTTCAAAATTGCAGCATTTTGATTCAGAGGGGCTAATGCATAGGAATACCCCTCTGAATGTGTGACGTCAGCGCAGATATCTACACTGGCGGTCGCAGCCGCTGGCAAAAGGGGGGGGGGGCAAAGTCACACTCGCGGGACATAACATTTATCCGTCACCGGAGGGGGGGGGGGGGTGATCGGCTAATTTTTACGCCCACGAGGCGCCGAAAAAGTTGGCATTACTTATGCTTCATCCACCTCATTTTGCGTGAAATCTTTAAGCTCAATTTAACCCGCGCACCGACGGGGGGGGGCGGATATCCGCCCCCCCTGAGGTTTTTCGCGAATAGCGGGAAAACCGCGGCGCGTAGCGCCGCGAAATTTGGTATGACTATTCCCTTATCAATTTTACACATGGTGTGCAAGTTTGAACTTCCTACCTTTCAAGGTCAGGTCACCAGGTCACTTTGAATGACCCAACCTCAAGTCACTTTTTTGCAACTTTGTCACCGTGCCAGAGCTACAGTAGATGTCGGAGGCCTTTGAAAGTCGCAGGATGTTATTAGGTCATTAGTAGCTACAATTTGTATATCTCGGAATTTTGATATCGGTGACCTAAGGTCAGGTCAATTTCGCGACCTCCCCATTATAAGTCAATGGGGGAAAAATCAACTCCCTGTTTTTACCACTAAAACGGGTCGGAATGGCCCCATATACCATACATGACTTCATATACCATCAACCTTCACTACCTTGAGGTCTGTTTTGCTGTTGGGCAGCTGTGAGGTCATGTGACGTCATCAAAGGTCACCAAAGGTTTTTGGCCAATAACTCCGTACAGGAACAAGATACAGACGCGTGGATGGTCTCATTGTGTTCAGCTCGTCAAGACGCATCGAATGATATACATGATGACCTCGAGGTCACGTGACCTGAGGTCAACCTTTGACCTTGACCTTTCGAGGTCAACATATATATCATTCGATGCGGATTGACGAGAGGATCACGATGATGCCCTTAGTTTGTTCCTATCTTGACTAATTCGAAAGTTATTCGAGAAAAACTCTCCATATTCAGCGCCGCCATTTTGACTTTTTCGACCCCTGTGACGTCATCTTTGACCTGACCTGAAAATGACCTTAGTAAAAATTGTAGATCTTGACCGTGCGTATCCGATGCCGTTTACCGCTTGTCGCTATCTTGCTTCGTTCTCGAGATCTCAGGGGGGGGGCGGTCATCCGCCCCCCCCGTCGGTACTAAGTTGGCGCAGACCCCCGTCGGTGCGCGGGTTAAGGCAAAATCACCAGTTCCATTTCCCGTCCCACGGTGTTTCCACCGGTCGGGCCACTGCACCATGGCGACGGATCGGTGTAGCATATACTGGAAGGTCGGGCACGCGGATTCATGACCTTACCACTATCAAACAATTCGGAAAAGTAAAGATACCTCTTGCTTTGAACAAGCATGTGAAACCCAGAGAGCATTTTCAAACCATGACATTTACCCATATAGATGTGTAGCGGCGGGAGAAAGTAAGTACACCGACCTCAGACTTGTGATCAGCTCAGTTGAGCCGGCTCAAAAATCAGCTCAGCTCATGAGCCGGCTCAACATTTTGCCAAATTGTTGAGCTGTGAGCTGAGCCGGCTCAGTAATGCATTGAGCTGAGCTGCTGTCTGAGCTGAGCTGAATGAGCTTGAGCTGAGCTGAGCTGAATGAGCTTGAGCTGAGCTGAGCTGAGCTGATTGAGCTGAGCTGAGCTGATTGAGCTGAGCTGAGCTGATTGAGCTGAGCTGAGCTGAGCTGATTGAGCTGAGCGGAGCTGAGCTGATTGAGCTGAGCTGAGCTGAGCTGAGCGAGCTGAGCTGAGCTGATTGAGCTGAGCTGATTTAGCTGAGCTGAGCTGATCCAGTTCTAATTCTTTTCAGTTCATGCTTGGAAATTAACTCAGGCTTTGATGCTTCAGCTATGAGCTAGCTATGGAGTGAGCAATTACACTGCCTTCGTGATCACACTTAAAAATATCAAAACTCTAAAGAAATCAATAGTAATCACTAATCAAGCATAATTTCTTTCACCCATATTGCATGGAAATTGAAAGACCAGGGTCTTGGCCAATTTACAGGCTAATACAGCCAGTCTCAAGTTTCAAGTCTGACTGCAAGATAAATACCTACTGTCAGGCTTTGATGCTTCGCCTTGACCCTCTGCTCCGCAATGTACAATTCAGCATTCTTCACTTTGTTATTTAAGCAGTTATTCAAATTAATTTTATCAATAAGGGTTCTTACCTCTGCATAAAATATTTACAATTAGGAATTAGCAAATAAAGTTCCTCTTCGTTGGTTGAATGTGGGCTAAGCAACCATATCCTATTGAAAGTGGGGTGGGGCAGAGGCGCTAACTGGAACTCTCACCTTCTGATGTCCATTATATGGGAAAAGCTCCCTTATTCACACGCCGACTATGAATTCTAATAGTGTTGACATTGCCTTGGTTGAGATCAGGGTGGTGTTATAGGTTTCACTGATAACAGCACGCTGCTAGCACACATGTCAAATGGGGTTTCCATGGAGATATAAACAAACTCTTATCTCCAAGTTCCAACACTACCCCAAAATGTAACGTCAGCTCCTGGCAGGGTGTCAAGAGCGGATGGCGGCGTGGGCGTGCTGCTCTCGGCCGTGAAACCCCGCCTAGTTGAGATGATTCCATGACGTTTTTTTTTTTCGTCAAGAAGATTTTCGCCGGACAATTTTTCGTCCGCAGATTTTCGTCCGACTTTTTTCGTCTCGCATTTTTTTTTCGTCTGTACATTTTTTCGTTCGTGCATTTTTTCGTCGGTACATTTTTTTCTGAGCGGAAACTGAGCTGAGCTGAATTGAGCGGAAACTGAGCTGAGCTGAACGGGAACTGAGTTGAGCTGAGCTGAGCTGAGCTGAGCTGAGCTGAGCGGAAACTAAGCTGAGCTGAGCGGAAACTGAACTGAGCTGAGCGGAAACTGAGCTGAGCTGAGCTGAGCGGAAACTGAGCTGAGCTGAGCTGAGCGGAAACTGAGCTGAGCTGAGCTGAGCGTGAGCGGAGCGCAGCCGGTTTGAGCGGAACGTGAGCTGAGCTGAGCCGCGTTAAACTGAGCGGGAGCTGAGCGGGAGCGGATAAGACGAAGTTGAGCTGAGCGAGCTCACTTTTTTCTTGAGCTGTCACAAGTCTGCCTCTGGAGACCCCCGGCCCCACAGGTTCCTGGTTTTCAAAATTGGCATCTGAGGGCCGCGCGCGACTCGTGCGGGGCTTCGCAACGGCTCTATTGGGGCTCGGCTCACTCAACCTGTCTTATAGTCCTACAAGACTAGCCCTGAGCC